ACAGACACTTCTCACAAGAAGAGAAACCCATCCAGTCTACCTTTACTCGTTTAAACACGAAAACAAGATTTTTGTACAATGTAGTGAAATTGAAACTGTGGAACTATTTAAAAACAGGTAAAGGTGTGTGTCGTCTGCATAGCAGCGGACTTTTGTTATTGCTGCTAAAATATAAAAAATATTAATTTCTATACAATCCTGGTATAGAATATATATAAAAAAATATAAACACAATTACAGACTATGCCGATATTGGCGTCAACCAGTAACAACACTGTTTCTTAATTAAATCAGCGCAGATAAATTATGATCTGATATTGTTATTTCTAATTGATCTATGGGGTCATTCAGGTTGAAAAATTGACCAATCAGAACAACATTTCTGTTTTTTTCCAACTCCAAATTGTGCATGTATGTAGTCCAAAATAAAGCCCTAAGTAATAATAATAGGGGGCAACCTCTTCATTCACTTCAGGCTTCTTCAGTTCTAACTGACTGCTCTGACAGCTTTCAGAGTGGATGAATACATGCAAGGAGAGATGTTACAGCAAAACAAAGGAGCTGACCACGCCCTGACCTGTTGGCAGGATGTTGTGATCACCGGGATCAAGGTGCAGGTCAAGCACTCCCCCATCACCATTTCCTTAAAAAATAGCATTTTTTAAGGAAAACTGTGTTTGTTGTTACTTACTGGGAGTAAAGGCTCACTGGGCGAATGTCCTGCAGCATCTTCAGCCTCGTACTTGTAATAATCCAGCGGAGCGCAGAAATAGCCGGGTTGCACCTCTGAACACTGTCGACCAATCAGATGTCTCCTACAGTCACACTGGCCACTGTCCATCATGCATCTGGTGCAACAACAAATGATCAGTGGATTAGGGTTCATATTTCCTCTTTGCTGTATACATTCATTTTATATATCATTAGAGGAATTGTTAGCATTTTATTAACATTTTCATTCATGTATTTTTGAAAACATGTATTATTGCTGTGAGCACATTTTTAAGTAAATGTTTAATTTTACCTCTGTACTCTGGAGCCACAATGTTAACTATATTTCAAAAAAAGATTATTAACAGCTCACTGTAGGTATCATAGGAGGCGCTGTTGCATCCTGAGATTTTTTTTTATTACTAAAGACTCCTAGAGAACTTAAACAATCTTGATCTGTATTTGTTGCAGCTGTGTGTGTGTGTGTGTGTGTGTAGAGCAATGCTAATGATTGTTGCTGTTGCTTCTGGATAAAGATCTGTCCCTCTGTTCATGATTACTTTTTCCACTACAACACATAGATGAAGAGATAGTGTACCTGTTGTTGAAGGCCCCGCCAAAGTCACAATCACAGGGCCTGCAGCCGGACAGGTCGTTACTGAGCCCCCAGTATTCAGGCTGCAGAGACAGAAGCAAACCGTCACAATCTGTATTTACAGAAGAAAACCTTGCCTGTACACTTCTGACAGCTGTGTGAGTATGTGTGTGATACAAAGCGCATCACACAATGTGGCTAAAAAAAATGCAGTCAGAATAGCACGAGTAACTGAAAAGACAAGGAAATGTTTATACAAAAAGGATTTTAATTGAAACAAAAGTACTGCTAACATTTGAAAATAAAAACACGTATATTTACATTTAGATATGTACAATAACAGCATCAAACTGATATTAATCTTTTTTTTTAAAAGGGTGTGTTAAAAGGTACTTCGTACTACAAGCTGCAGCTGTAGAGACAGGAGAAGCCAACACTCACCAGACACTGGTCACAGTAGCGACCTGTGACGTATCTTTTACAAGAGCAGTCGCCGCTAATCTGATCACAAGGGGCGTCGAGCATGATGATACCACGGGGGTCGCAGTTACACGCTGGCCAGAAAACACACACATAGTAAAGAGGTTATTACTTATGATCCCCAGAATAATGGATGAATAATGACAATGAAAAATGTATTGACATGACAGTGTTAGTTTTAGGCTTCAGAATCGAACATTGACTAGCAGGGAGATCACATGGTCTATTTATATATCTATTTATATATATATATTTAAATAGGAGTAAAACAGTAACTGTGGAATATTTTCCATTTCACATAAATATTCTTAGAACTACTGCAAAAAATGCATCTACCTTTGTCTTTGCAACCGTGTCAGATAGAACAATTAAATAATCATCCACTAGGTGGCATGTTGATTAAAAACTAATACAAGAGAGAGTAAGAGTTTCTTCTATTTCTTTGGGTATTCCAGAGTTGTGTTCAACTTATCTGGACCAGGTTTTTTCTGAGTGAGTTATGAGCAAATTAAAACTAAAAAACAAACATTTTTACATACGTTGGCAGCCCATATACATTTGATGTCATTATTTTATTCTAACGTAAAACATTTTTACATACGTTGGCAGCCCAGTGGGTCATTCTGGCTGAGTCCAAAATAACCTTCTTTGCAGTCATCACAGCGCATGCCTTTAACATTAGATTTGCAGCGGCACTGTCCAGCAATCATTCCCATGTTGGGGTCTGTGTGACCGTCACAAACACCGCCTTCCAAAGAACCCACTGGGTCACAGTCACAGGCTGCAGGTCAGAGGGAAAGAAAATGTGAGAACATGATCAGAACAATGTGACGGGCAACTATAAATGAGGGCTTTCTTATACATAACAATGATTATGATCGGTGACAACACATTGGATTCTGATGAAACACTTACTGAACAAATGTTACCTACTACAACTTTAAATGACCCACCTACGCAGACCCGAGGGTCTCTGATGTCTCTGCTGGGGTCTTTGAAGTAGAAAGGGCTGCAAATGTCACAGTTGCGGCCCATGGTGTTGTGCTGACAATCGTCACACACTCCTCCACTGATGTTCCCAGTGGACAAAAAGACGGCCATGTCGAAGTGGCAGGAGTTGGAGTGACCGTTACAGTTACACTCTGGAGAAAAGGGAGAAAAGTGAAACATAGCAGAGAGTGTGATCTGTCAGTTAATCAATTCTGTGTGTACTGTATGTGTGTGTGTGTGTGACTTTTCTACCTCGACAGGTGTGTGGGTTTTCAGCCTCAGCTGGTCTCCATGGGAGATCATGATGGAAATCTCGACAGCGCTCACAGTTCAGACCCTGTGTATTGTGTTTGCAGACGCAGCGACCGTGAATCTGAGTGATAGAAATGCGGCAACATGATTATTAGAACATAAATGTTATTAATTAAAGCATTGGTAAAGGTCATCATTGGTGTAAATGAAAGAAATGAAAATGAAAGACTGTCACGGTCTCACAATGAGTACAGATGAAATGTTCATTTTTTAGTCATTGTTTTTGTAAATGTACCCAAAATGTCCCTATTCGTAGCTACTGTTTCATGTGCAGTTCTAAAGCTGGACTGTAGAGGCTGGTTTACATAAATGGGTTCCAAAGATATTATCATTACAAAAGGTAAACTTTTACTTCAAATAACAGGAGTAACATGTTTACTTTTCTTCCACTAGATTTTTATAGTCATATATTTTTTTTTACAATACCCTGGTTTACAATGACCTGGTGGTATCTGTAACCTCAGGTCCCAAAAAACGACAGCTCAACTATCATCATCGTTGTCATATGAATTCATATGCTGCTCTGAGTTTAAAACAACTGACCATGCCGTTTCCCCGGGCGTCAACCCCTGGCACAGGTGCACACTCGGAGGCATGGCCGTAACAAAAGCAGCTCCCTCGGACCACCAGCTCGTAAATGGCATAATAATATTTCTGCAGGACGTCGAAGCGTCGGTCCAGCAGGTCGTCTCCCAGAGTGTTGAGTTTGGTGAAGTTGATTCTCAGGTTAGTAATTCTCAAAAGCTCTGCAAAGAAGGAAGGTAAGGTCAATTAGACCTGATTCGTAATTATGTCTGAATCTAAACAGCCATGCAAATATATATGGAGAGAAATATTGATGACAAAAAACAGGAACTGCAAGGAATGGAGAAAAACAAAAAGTCAACGCTTAAAAACCTCAGTCACCTTGAATATCTAGACTGTAGGGATCTTTGACATGAATGGCAGGATCCAAAACTTTGTAGATGACCTTGAGAAAGAAACACAGTAATGTTAGCGGATAAAAAAAGCTATTTATTGTTTGTTGTTCTGAGCCTAATTGTTTAACTGTTTTGATTTCACTCCACCCTGCTCATAAACCAGTTCCAGCTGAGAAGACAACAGCCATAAAACATGGAGAAGGCACCATCATGAGCCATAGTGGGTAAAGTGTGCTTTTCTGTTGCTCCGGGGCTTAAAACACAAGGGTCGGGGGCCACTTATGGCCTGACAGGCCCAAAAATTGGGCGAAGAGGTCATGTTTTTTTATTTCTTTTTTTTAAATAAAGTTCAGTTCATTTGAGTTTGAGGCCCCTGCTGTGCCAAATAAACAAAAAAAAATGGCATTGTATTATGCCATAATAATAATCTTCTCACCTCTCCATTCGTGGAAGGCTCAATGTCAGAGTAGCGTTCCTCACAAATGATGTCGTTAATGTGTCTCAAACCGACGGCCGGGATTTGTGGAAATGTTCTGGTGCAGTTTGAGGCAAAGTAGCGGTAAGGACGCCAGGTGCGTCCAAAATCAGCTGAACGCTCAATGATCATGGCTGCAGGTCGGAAAGTCTGAGCAAAAAGGAAAAAGAAAGAGAGAGTCAGTTTGGTGAAATTCATCTCCACTGCAGTGTTCAACTTCACTTAACTGTGTGGAAATTCTACAAAGTAATCTAACCTGACCGTAAAGAGCTAAAGCATTTCTGCAAATCCACTGTTAAAATGCTCGTACTGTCTACGGTGGCAGTAAAGAGAAAGAATTGTTTCTTTAAAGAACACATACATAGAGACTGCCTTTTGCCTGAGTCGGTGTGAAACCCTCGAGGCTTTTTCATCGTTATCTTCTAGATAAAGTATTTATTCATTTTGTTTGATCACACTGGTGGGTCTTAGATGATCCTTAATTAAGTTTGCGATGTAAGTTATGATCCACATAAAGCTGTCATTTCATTTGGTACAGTTGTGCTGTAGGTTATTAATTTCAACACGTCTGCATGAGGAGACACAGACACATTAATGATGAGACGACAGCATCCGTCAGGCTGGGTTTTATTAACCTGTATGTCCGTGTTTGTTCAGACTGTCAGTCAGGTTACTGATTCATTTGTGTGCAACAACAAAGAAACACTAGTGTGTGTCTGGAGTAAAGAAATCATTAAATAACACATTTGGCCGGGTGAGGAGCAGATAGATGGATCGTTCGTTTGAACTAAGACAAATGACATGTAAGTCATGCATAAAGGCTAAAATGCTAAAATACTTTTTGCCTTTTCTACCCCATGTATTGGGGGAATGCATTGCAGGGAAAAAGCAGAAGTATAATGATAATAGAAATTAATAACATCATTTGGACAAGTTTGGTGGGCCGGGCTAAAAAGCCAAACTGGTCGCATCTGGCCCCAGTTTGAAAAACCAGCATTATCCTGGGTTTTCATATCAATCAAAGTCCCAACAAATACACAGGTGCGTGTGTGAACATGCAAAAGAACACATGTGTACCTTAAACTTCATGATGAGGTGAGTGAAGTGGAATTCAGCCTCCAGGTTCAGTCTGATGCTCACACTCTCCAGACCTGTGGAGGAAACAAGTATCAATCAGTGTGATCGTCGAGGGGTGCTGGTAGATCATGTATGTTGTGAAATTTCATCAAAGTGCTTGTAAATAAAATGTATGTGAATATAATGTATTTTTATATTTCATGAAAAAACACATAAACAATTTGAAATGAATCTTATGATAACAATAAATGCAAATGAAACAATCACACAGACAGACAGACAGACATACCATTGACAGACTGCCACCAGGTGTGGTCTCCATTTCTGTCCATGAGGTAGATGACATTTTCAATGCGATGGCTGTTCCTGTGGTGGTGCGGGTCGTAGCGGTGCTGGGAGTTACACTCAAAACACTTGTCAGATTCCTGTGGAGAACACGTCGGCTGTAAATAGTCTGCTTATACATGTATATAGAGTAATCCGTGTGAATTCACGATTAACTGAATAATGCTGCACCTTGACAAAACGTCCTGATTATAATGACCTCACTCAGTCGTGGTCAACCGATTGGCTATTTGGAGGTCTAGTTGGTGGTGTTTTCTTGACTTAATGCCAACTTTCAACCTATTTCCTGTTACCTATAGAATTGTGATGCTTATACAACACAACATAATTACAAAATGGAAATCTGATTGCACCTCAAGGAAAACAAACGGATGGAGAGCACAAGCCCAAAGGGCATGGGAAAGATCCATCACTGTGTGGTACCAAGGCTTAGAGTCCAGGCAAAGCAGTGTGGGAAAAAAAGGTTGTAGAGGGAAAGGTGCAGGTTAAAGTAGGGAGAGCACTTCATCTGCACGGTACGAGTGGAGGACAGGAGTGCGATTTTGAATAGGGATGCATCAGAGAGGGGGCCATACAGAGGGGAGCTGGGAGAGAGGAGGAGGGGAAAGGGTGAGTTGGCAGAGAGACAGCATGGGTTTAGACCAGGGTTTCTTAATTAGACGGTTGTCATGGGTGAATGTGCAGCTAACAGCACCTGTTAAAGAAGCAGAATCAGACTTAATGGCCATGGTGCATATACAGAGACATAAACAACTGGGGAGGGTCTAGGGGAGGGCTTGGTCAACCACACCAAAACCAGCCAAGACAAGTTTCAAACCTAGTATCCTCTGATGACTAGGCTGATCTTTTAGCCCAATGATTCCCAACTACTGTGCCGCAGCACACAACGGTGTCGGGACAGATAATTAGAAGTTCTGTTGATTGCTATTTATTTATTATAAATAAATGTTTTTTTTTTAATGTAACAGTGACAGGAAGTTAAATACACGTCCACTAGGTGTAGGCAGATAGCTATTAAAAACAGAACAGCGTAATACTCAGGTTTTGAAAAAATCTTGGTGAATGTCTTTCTTCAATTCCTGTGAGTATTTCAGAGTTGTGTTCAACTAAACGGGCAGGTATTTTGTGACATTTTTGTTTGGTGGTTTCTCGTTTAGTTAAGTTAAAAATTATAAGACATTTAAAGCTCTTATTTGGAAATGCACTTTTCATTGCATTTATATTTATGCATTAAGCAGACACTTTTATCCAAAGTGACTTAAAAGAGGAGGATTAAAAATCAAGCATGTGGTTCCTCTCAGAATCACACCCAGGACTCTCTGTTTGCTGCTTCCCAGGCAGGCATGCTAACCGCTAAAATCTGGAACACAGTTGGGAAACTGTGTGCACGAAAACACTGCAATATAATCTCTCCAGAAACAAAAAGAGTTCCTTACAATCTCTCCAGAAACAAAAAGAGTTCCTGAGAGAACCCGTGTCTTGGACAAAAGATAGATAAACATCTTGACAATTTTAAAGAGACAAATGTTTGGTGTGGCCCTCTGACAGGCCAGAAAACACACCTGCACTCATTCTACGACAGTTTTTCACTGTACCCTGCCAACAACAGGCAGAGGGCCTCTCACCAATCAGACAATGTCAATCACCTTTACCTTTGAATGTTAATTTTTCCTGCCCTGAAGCCACAGAGATGCAGGGACATGCAGGCCTGTGCACAGAATTTGTGCACGGCTGTGTGAAGAGCTTGAAGCTGAAGTTGACAATCGGCTATAATTGCATCGCTATTTATTTCATTTGTCCGTGACACAAGTCCATGTTCATACAGAGCTCGTTAAAAGTAACAACAAAGAAGAACATTTGTCTTTTGTAAATCCCACATATACACAAAATACTCATGCTAATGTGTAAAAAAAGCACTTTCTAAAGCATCGCAACCTTGCATTTGCAGCAGGAAAAAGACGAAGTTGAGTTGCTAAGCAATACATGTGTGAAAATGGAATGCAACAAAGCAGAAAGCATTACTGTGCTTGGAAAAGTTAAGATGGAAACATTTTACAGGAAGAAAAAGCAAGGTCAGGAGAGTTACTGAAAATGTTAGAGGGTGGAGAATATGTAACAAAGGTGCGGTAGGTTTGTGTGTATGAGTGTATATACAAGCCTCAGGCCCTGTTTTAAAGTACTGTGTGGAAGAGTGTGCGCTGTCATGGACTTTACGAATGGAAACCAGGCTGCAAACAAACAGACAGGTGAACAAACGGGGATGGACGAGGGCAGACTGAAGGTGGATCTCAGCATGAAAAGGGTAAACAAAGAAGCTCCGCTGTTGCTATGAGATTGTTGCTACAGTGAATGTTCAACATAGATTGATTAAAAACCTCGGCCCTCGACTGCAACTGAGAGGCAAACACAACATACAACAAATAATTGAGGCTGAGCATCAAGATGTAATTTCATAACCCCAAGAAACAATGATCTTTGGAGACCTGACCTGCATTCAGACGTTTTTGGACAATCTCCATTACAGACAGTTATGATTGCATGACTGAGGATTTTTAGTTGTTGTTGTGTGTTGTTTTTTTTTTTTTTTTGTTATTTTAAAACAAACTAAAGTGCACATAGACGGATGGATGGATGGATGATAGATAGATAGACAGATAGAAATAAGAAATAAGAAAAGAATAAAGAGAATTCAAGTGAATTTACTTTTTTTTTTTCAAAAGTCTGACTACTTTTCTAAGATTGGGCCCAAGTTGGAAGAAATCTTAAACCTTTATAAATATATAGGTAAAGTCGGTCAAAGCCACCGGAGGAAACTTTTAATGTAATTTTCTTTACATGCCATTAGCCCAGCAGGATTTAAATTCCACAATGTCTCACCTGCAAATGACTGACTATACAGTACTGTTCTGGTCCATTATGTCCACATGTCGAGGAGGCTGTCAGGTTCACAGCACGTCCAATCAGAAGGTTCCCTGTGGCAGGGTAACAGCTGCCCTCTGTGCAGCCATGAGGAGCTGATGGAATTTCTTGACCAAAGGCAGCAAGAGCTGGATGTTAAAAAAAGAACAAAAAACATCCGTCACAAATACTTTTATGGATATGTATTAGCCAGTGAGAACAAAAAACATCCTTTCGTCACAATTATTTACTTTTATGGATATGTATTAGCCAGTGCTGTGGTAAAAAATAAAAAGTCTTTGTCTTTAGAATACAAAACCTGGCTGGCTGGCTATTAGTGCTAAACTTTACCTAAAATCGTAACATTCTAGGTTTAGTTTATGGACTGTGGACGTATTTTAAGGAAAGAAAAGTTCAGTCATTGTTTTTAGACAATCTGAACTCAAACTAAATGTACAATTATGTACACAATATAATAAAATGTAATATAATATTACAGTATTATTTAATGTGACTGTCACAGAGGTACCCAACAAGTAGCTCGTGATTGAAAGGGAGTTCTGGTAGATCATAGGAAATTAAAATTTAAAAAATGTAATATATATATATATGTGTAAAGTTACGTTACATTGCAAAATACATTAAACCCAAAAGAAGAATAGTAAAAATTTTGATGGTGATGACACTGGTACATTTTCTTTACCTGTTTTCTTGTTTTTAGCTAAAAAACCTAAAATACATTAAACCCAAAAGAAGAATATTTAATCAAGAGGTAAACTGCATTCTTTTTTTTCCCTTCCATCCATGTGGAATTGCTGCCAAAAGTTGCTTATGGTTCACTTTGAAGCTGTAGTTATAGCCGAGTTGCTACGTCTATTTCCTAATCAGACACCACAAACACAACTAAAGTTAGCACATCTGACTTTCGGATAAAGAAACAGAGGAAGAACAATAATTAGCTGACAAATACACATAGTCTGCTTAGCATTTAACCTGTCCAGCAGAAGGCATTTTACCAGCCTCTACTACCAGGTCATGGGATGGTAGGAAGCAACGCAACGCAGGAAGTGGAAAGAATACCTTTCATTCTGTCATGTACAACATAAGGAGAACATGCAGTGACATGTTGAGGTGGTAGGAAAATAAATGAATGATGTTTTGAGAAGTAATCAAAAACATCCTCCAGAAAACTTTACATTAAATTGACTTGTGAATGGAAGCTGTGGAGGGCAATGTGCCATTAATGTGACAGGAACAAGGACTTGATGCACGTTCTTGATTCTCTACTCCACTATTCAACTCTAATTGCTTCCACTTAAGAAAAAACACAAATGTGCGAACCTCTTTGCAATGTAAGCACTTCAACGTAAATGGCAGGTATGCACGAGAGCAGGACTCTCACGTCATTTAGACCAAGCGTACATGTGCGCAACGAATGCCAAAAAGAGAAACAAACCAGATTACATCATCATCTGACAAATCACAGCAAGAAGTAGGCGGGAATGTTGGATTTGAGAAGATGCATAAATCTCTAAGCGTTCCAATTACAATACTGTTCATGAAAAAGTGTGTTTGTGTGCGTATGTGTAAATGGGGTATTTCCAAACCAGTTGTAACCAGTCTCCTTACTCATTTTTACTCACAAGTGTCTCACATTGAGATTTATGTGATTACTATAATTACACTAACACACACGTTCTGTCTGTCTGAACACAAGATTGCATGGGTGTAATGATTCAATCAATTCTTGTTTTTATTTGCAACACTTACATTTAATCTTTGGATGTTAGATGTTTCTGTTGGGAAAATATTCAACAAAAGCAATTTGGACTACCTTTTTTTAACTAGCCAACCACACATTATTTTATTTAAATACACTTTTCACTATGACATTCAGTGGGCTGAGGAAGAGAGTTCGTACTTAAGAGCAAAATTACCGCCACTAGAGGAAATCTCAGGTTTACAGTAACAAACGACATTGGCATTTTCGTGAAGCTAATAACAGTTAGCATTGCTCCGAATATATATATATATTGTACTTACGAGTGCACGACAAATGTAACTGCATGAGGTTTAATGTTGGTAATAAAGGCCACACATGCCCAAAAAGCAATGTAATATCTTGGCTCCAGTTCAGTAAAAGATTTGACAGTCATATTTTATCACTTCCTGCCAAGTTTTATCAATGCCCTGGGGTGAATGTCAGAGGTTCCACTGATGAGGCTCCAAGTAAAACGAGATGACAGCTCGTTTTCCTGTACATTGTGTAAAAGTGGAAAAATATTGGAAAGAAATATGTACTTAATGTTCTTATAGGTTGCATAATCCATACACTACTGATAATGATTTAAATCTCAGTAAGTTATATACTTATTTTGGTTCATGGGCCGCATACATACTAATTAGATGTCAAGTGGGCCGGACTAGTACAATTATAACGTAATTAACGATAAATACCAATAAGCCCATGTTTTTCCCCTTTGTTTTCTTGCAAAGAAGTACAAGTATATTAGGCATTTATTATTATTTATTCATATTTAATGACATGAAATAATTTTAGAAAAAATATCTTGAACATATAGTGTTCTGTTATGTTTGACTCTATATGTTCAAATCTGTGTATGACCACTGCACTGGAAATCTCCGACTGAGCTGGAAAGCAAACCTTTGGACTGTAGATAAGGATCAATCACACACCCTTAGCAAACATAAAATACAAGACAGTGCTAGGACCCTGAAACCGACATGTGATATGGTGATACGCAATGCAAGACTGTGCACGGAGGGAAGGGCATCAAGGAATGTGTGCTGTGACTTTAATGTGGCCAATGAAAGACTGCAGCTCCTTCATGAACACATCGGAGGAACCAACAAAAGAAGTTTTAAACTACTCTTAAGTAGAGTAATGCCAATGTAAACCCCCCACTCCTATCCTTCTCAAACAGACCCTTTCAAAATGCACGGATTGAGACACTCTGTCACTCTGCAGGTATGAAATTACACAATGGGTTCATTCACTGGTCAAATAGACCTGTCCAAGATAAAATATGTCTGAAAAAGAGCTGGTAAATACTATTGGTCAAAACTTTGTTTGAGGAAATTAAAAAGGGTGCGTCATGGCCGTGAATAAAATGAAACACAATTGGAAGTGCTGTGCTGTGAGTGACAGAAATCTATGCCCTGTTTACATGGCTGCGATACGATACAACTATGTAGCCTCCAGATACGGAGCGTTTACACGCAACAAGAAGATTCAGAGTTTAGATTGAGCCTCTAAATAAGAGTCCGGCCCACGTAGTACATATGCCAGCCTCTATGTGGGGCTGTGTCACACCGACTCCAATATACTAACACCACAAAAACCATTGCTGCTCAAGATAGAGCTGCAACAGCGGATTCATTAGCTGTGGCCCTCCAAGATACTAAATTAGCCTTTCCAGTCAAAAGTAGCCTGGCATTGTTGTCATTGTTATTGTTGTTGTTTCCCATGACAACCCGCTTCAAGTACTTCAAGTGTTCACATAGTATAGCTTGTCTTCACTCAAGCCTGTGCTAATTGAGCTTCTGCGCTTAGTGTTAGCGTGTTTATAATACTGTTCAATAAGGAAAGCATATGGCTGGACTAGAAATGTTGGACCCGCATAGACAATGGGGATTAGAATGTTTTTAGAGACATTCAGCTTTTCAGACTGACCAACATGTCTGAAAGAGGAACAGAAATCCATGGTGTTTGCTCTGGTAATTACAGTGTGGTTGTCATCTGAACTCTCCCTTACATGCTAAACCAAAGAACGCTTCTGCCATCTACGATGTAACACAGAAGTTCATCCTCCTGTCTGTGTGGGCTGTGACACAATGTTAACCTGCCCAGACTGGCAAAGAGAATGTCAACAACAGGGTTTCTTCCTGCATCTGTATCCACGAACACAGTTGTCACTGCATTTTAGTCGTACACCACATGCTGTTGAGTCAAGAACGTGATCAGAAGATAGAAATGTGTGATGGATTATAACAAAGGAATCAATCCACTTATCTGTCCGAACTTTGTTTCTGCTAACTTTGGTAGATGGAAAAATGATAGATTCAAATTTTGTTTTTTTAATTTTGTTTACATAAAGATTTATAGCTGCCAATGCGGTAGCACTTAACCTTCAAACTTTCAAGGACTGAAAACTCGCATATTAGCCGATTCGGGTATAAGCCGACCCCGCAAAATGGTGATTTTTACAAAAACTTGCAGATAAGCCGACCATAATGTTTTCATTTTTTGCCGTGGTAAAATGTCTTACGCCTGCTGTGTGGATCAACAAAGACTTAGAAAATGTTCTTATTATACACTGTTTACGTTAAAATTGCGAAGATTTCACCAGTGTTTTTTGCGAATTTCAGAATAGACGTGATTTATTTTGGATTGCTGTATAGCAGCGGTACAGTTAAAATAATTATTAAATATTGGTTGTAAATTGTGTGGATTGAATTTATCTATAAGTGTAATGATATTTTTGACCATACGTTTGACTTTGTGTTTATTATCGGTGATGATGCGATTGATGGTATTTATCCACATATAAGCCGCCCCCCCGATTTGATCTTTATTTTTTGGTGTTTTAAATTCAATTTATATGCAAGTATATACAGTAACTGCTTCATCACTTCATGACAACAGGAAACCAGGACTAGAGTACGTCATACATTTTTCCTTCCATGTCATGCAGATGTTTTCTGACACCAGATGGTTTACCAGTGTGTGATTAAAGTAATGCACGTGGCCTCCTGCTCACAAAGGAAAGAGACACAGGTAAACACATGCTGTTCCAGGGCTACTATGGCAGGAATGTCAGGACTGAGCACAAAATGTCATTCATTAGAGAAAGTATTCCAGGTGTCGGTGGCGCTAAATGTGCAAAAACATCACGTACTTCTGGACACACATCCAGTTAATTAAGTTTATCTGGGCTAACAAACTGGTGTTATCCTAATACAATATACTGGTGATGTCCAAATACAAATATATTAGTATAGGCGAGTGACATAGCTACTTATGTACTTGACGTACGGCAAAAATTGAATTACATCATGCCGTAGGATTGGAGTTTCGCTGAAGTCAGGGTGAATGGAAACATACTGACTGGTACGAAACATACCAACTTCTCCACTTGTTGATGTTAGTTTAACAAGAAAAATAAAAACATTTGCCAAAAGATTATTTAACAATGCGTTAATTGCGAATAATTAATTAGAGACACATTTAGGGTGTTGATTTATTAGATTGATTGATTTGTATATTGTCTTGAAGGCAACAAAAAGAAACAAAAGAAGGCCAGATCAATAAATCTCACTGCCTTGACTAGCCCTGACTTGGACTCTGGACAGGTCTGATTTAATGCTGCTTTAACATACATAATGGAAACTTGACTGCCAAGACACACAAAAGAAAGTTGAACAAAAGAAGAAGATTTTGAAAATCACTGTCCAGTTCAAATATAATTATAATATAATTACTAATGTGATCTAATTGTGCCATAATTACTTTAAGACTTCATTTGTATCTGAAGCATACGAGTAAGATCATATGTGGGCTCTATGTGGGTTAAAGGTTTATAACATTATGAAATATTTTGGCCAGTTCAGATAAATTGGCATTCAATCGCCGTGCACAAGTGACAGACGTTGACAAGCTGCAGGAGCCTCATCGAGGCACTTGATAAGTAACTGATAAAGTCTGTACTCCAGCACATTTTCTAGACCTGATGAACTCTCAGATCACTCATGACTTTACTGGTTTTGCCCTGGACATACTAACTGAAATGCTGCTAAAGGGCAGATCCACTACCATGTTTGGAATTGATCCCACACCTATGTGACCCTAGGACAATTGCCCTACCCACTGAGCTGCAACCATCCCAGAACAAGATATACCATATGGCCAGCAATAGTGTTTAAGGGTTAGTAGCATGAGCGCTGAGGCATTTCTATCTTTCTGTTCTTTGCACAACTAAAACGCAGTCTCACAGTCCAACCCAGCAACACTGCTGCACCGACTGGGCCCTGTGCCATACACATCACATGTGTGTGGCTCTCTTTAAAAATGCTACTCAGTCACTAATTAACCCTATGAGGCCCAGGCTACCTCAGACCCAGCTCTGCTGTCAGTTGTCCCACCATCCACCGAACATTCCACAGATAATCCAGATTCTCACTGAGGTTCCTGACCCACCCAACAAACCTGCTGGCTCTCATGGGATAAAACATCACACTATGTTCAAATCTCACCACCCTATAAGCACCACTTGACAGATTTTACATAATTAATAATAATAATTACCAACAACTGCATTTATTTAAATAAAAAATAACTATTAATACAACTTCCTGTCGGAAAGCTGCGGTTTTCAAATGGTAGCACAAAGCTAGCTCAAAATTAGCTGAGAAAAAATCTTAATTTAAACAAAAGAAAAAGTAAAGTTAGACTAGAAAAGAGAAGCATATAGCAGCACAGATAAGTTAATTAAATGTCCATGAAAAATAGCACAGAAATTCAAAACTTGCCAGAGAAAAAGCTTAATTTTAGATGAGGTGTTAGCCGTTAGCTGTGGTGTTAGCTCAAAAATATTTGTCAATATCTCTTCAAAACGTACCAGAAAATAAAAATAAAACAAATTCTGATCTAAAAGATAGTGAAATATTGCCGACATAGCTGACATTACTCTTAAATCATATGTTACTCCCGTTTAAAAGTCGTACTTTTGCTCATATCTGAAACATCAGTGCGTGTCCTCCGCATTCCCGTGGTGAAAAATGGAGAGTAATTATTGTCATTAACTTTGAAGATCCTGTACCCAGTTATTTTAAGGGGCCTGAACGGCATTATCAGAACAGGAGAGTTCAGAACTCTCCAAAGATGTTCACTTCCACTTCTCTGAAGTTGAAAAAAAAAAAAAAGTCCAGTACAAACACATGTGGTTGTAGCTCAATCCTGTGATTAGTGTGCATGAAATAATAAAGGATTAGACTTAATTACGATGTTTGCGGAGAGAGTGAGTCACCGAGGATTTCCTTTGGATGATAATGTATTTAACAGCTTCTTTTCAAGCTATGGCTGGAGGCTCAGGAGGAGCAGGCTTTTCTCTGTGATCAGACAGGCTCCATTAACACCACCTTCAGTGGACAGTTTTCACCAACTCACCCAGCAGGAGGAGACTCAGCTGCACAGTCATGCTGGTCATCAGGACGCCTGGATGCTTGGACACCAAGCTGTCTCTGGCTATGAAACACAGATAGACACAATGTGAGAATAAAAAAATCTTCAGAAAAACTTAGCAAAGAGAGTTTCCAAGTTTAAAAAGGCAAGAAGAACTATACAATAACACAGGAGTCTGTACTTACAATAGCATAGGTTCAACCCATTATTGCCCTGAATTATCCACCAATCTCCTGCAGTCCTCACATAATTACTCACACAAGAGAGTTTTTTTTAAAATAATATATATTTTAAATGATTGTATGTAGTTATAGGACCTCAATGTAGTTAAAAAGTACACAAGAAAAGAAAGAAAAAGAAAGGGAGCGTCAAAAGCTACATAGGTCAACTGCTAAGTTAGTGGTCCCCAAACTTTCTCTGCTGGCTCATAAGAAAGTTTTCACACGCCCACCCACCCAAACAAACAAACAAAAAAACAGGATACACACAGACTTGTTTATTGCACACATTTTAAATGTAACTGTTTTTACGCACTTAAACTATAGCATAGCACCTTAATGTTATGTTAGCATTGCCAACTTTGGTTAGTTGGAAGGAGTGAGATTTTGTGTGTGTGGATTTTGTTAAACATTTACAGCATTAGACAATATGCTAATTTACATCAGGTTTCTTTCATTCATTATACCTGCGCCCCCCTGCAATGGCACTAAACCACCCCTAGGGGGCGTATCCCCCACTTTGGAAACTGCGCTAAGTAATCATGTTTGAATGAATATTTAAAAAAAATATTACAGAGTATTCCGTTATCATCATTCATCCTCGTTCTTAGCTTTTCTCTTTGTATAAACTGAAGTTTTTTATCCAATCATATTTCAGCTTCGTTCGTCGCCATGGTGAAAGAAATATATTTCAATTGTACCATGTTAATATTGATGTTTTTTTATTCACATCACGTCTCCGCTGTGGCTGAATTTTTATGGCTGGGATTTAATGACTTATACTACCATTATACTACTAATGTAGTCATACTACATTTCTGAAGAATATTCATAGTTTCCATAGACATAATGATGGTATTAGGATGTGGATTTGTTCAGGCAGGACACCACTGACGGACTTGACGCTAAATACACAGTGCGTCACAGTACACTTTTAATTTCAATTCAAAAACACGTATGTGATAACATCGGCCAAAAGATATTATCGGCAACATATATTAGCATATTTATGTAATATGTGTAAGAATCAATACTGATTTTGTCTCCGATAATGAAAACCCCATAACGCAATGCCTGGATTTCACCAAATGATGTGTACCCTAAAAATAGTTTTGGGGAAAAACAACTGTGTATGAAAGTAAAAGTCACTAGATGGCAGCATTATAGCTCATTTTATTAATCTATTTTAATAATCAGGGGACTGCATACAGAGTGTTGATGCCAGCAACTCATACAGAGGTTTGTACAGATAAATATATAAATACTACCAATAGTATTTCAAATCTCAGATACAGTAAACCCTTGTTTTTCGCGGGGTTACGTTCCAAAAAGAACCCGTGATAGACAAAATCCCTGAAGTAGAAATCTTTATTTTTTTTTACAATTAAATACTCAGAAAAAGAAGAGAAAGAACGAACAAACCATTTTACAGTCTCAACCATTTGTTTCACAAATAAAGTAAAATAAAAGTACTTTAGAAACATTTCAACAAATAACTTCTGTAATGTACTGTCAAATAATAATTTTAATCATCAACGTGAACAGAAGGCTTCAAATTGCGGAGATTAGCACCGCCCACCGTGAACGGGAGAAAATTAAAAATGATTATGAAAAAAATACAAATTACCTGGTCTTGTTGCGGGCAGTTGCAACCCTTTTTGAATCCTTATTAAAACTTATTGCTGCTGTCTTCCTTATGTTTTTTTCTTCCTTCTTTATGGAACGAACGGAAGATTCATTAATTCCATAATGCCGACCTACAGCCGCATAGCTTTTACCTTCATTTAGCATGTCCAATAGTTTTACTTTATCACCGATAGACAGCATCTTCCGCTGCCTTTTGGTCCCTACCGCAGGTACTTTTGCCGGTCCAGAGCGTTTTGTCGACATTATGGGGTTTGATAAACTCGAAATTGCAAGAGAATTTGCACGTACGTAATGTCAATTTGGCAAGCTGTTTTACGTACGTGTACATATTAAACCGCAACGTTATTGGCGCACAGGTAGAGAAGAAGCGGAGTGACTTTTTAGCCAATCAGAATGCAGAACACAATGCACGATGCAAATCCGTGAAGCCATGAAACCGTGAAAAGTAAACCGCGTTATAGCAAGGGATCACTGTATATCAAAATCCTAAATCTAGGTGTATTTAACAAGTAGTCCGTTCACATCAATTAGAACCTATATTAGCTAAAATGCAGCCAAAATAGTTAAAAACAGAGCAACAATGAACTTAAAAAACAATAACTTGACATGGCCATGTGCGAAACATAGACAACATTGGCTAGTTGTAGCAAAATCACATTTTGTTATTTAGCCAGGGTTATAACTGAACGCTGGCCTACAAGTTGTTTAAGCTTAGCCCTGAGGTTACAAAAGACCTGGAAATGACCCTCAAATTCCATGAAGTGACATTTCACCTGTTAGAAAGTGAATTTCCTGCCTTGCAGTCTCATTCACCTTCCCTCCAGGCTGATCAACCTCAGCTGTGGGGAAACACAGGTGCCTCCAGTCAAAGGTGATGACCAGAAACACCCGTGAACCCAACTCTGGATCTTCTGTCCATCATGTCAGACGGAGCAAGAGATATCTCTTACATTTTGAACAGCTCTTTCATTGTTACACTTTAACTGCATCTCGGCAACAGAGTTTCCAGTTAAGCCCCTGATGACCTACAGCAGCGCTGACAGCACAAGGTCACAGTGTAATCTAAAGGTTTCGCTCCACTGCTACAAAGGGATTAGGAGAAGACACAACTATGTAGAAACAGGAGGCAGTGGAAGATTTAATCAGCCAGCGTTCAAGAAATAAAAGTTTGGTACTCACACAACCCGGGGTCGCCTCTCCCTCCTCTGCCTTCCTACAAGCTAACTTTGCCCGGACAGTGTGTGTTCATGCGTGTGTGCGTGCATGCGTGTGAGTGTGTATTCTGTATTCTGCCGTGCACGTGTTCAGACCCAGGACCCCTATGTGTACATTTACGCATGCATGGACATGTGTGGTGTGTATGTGAAGCCGAATCAGTAAAACAAACTTGAAAGCACAACTGACGGCAGCGATGTAAAAACAGAGGGAACGCCACCAGCCAATGAGAGTGCAGAAAACTGCGGGGACCCCCCTTTCTTTCATTCCTCTCCTCCCAGTGCTTCTGTCTCCCTCTCTCCCTCCAGCTCGTCACTGGGGCACTGGGGTGAATGGGCAGCTATTCTTATTCTAATTCCTCTGTCACTCTGTGGGCCCTTGGCTGAAAGAGGGGAACGGTCTCCAGGCTTTTGGAATGCAACACCCCTTTTCTTCTGGACATCGAGGGCCGCAGAGGAAGCAGAAGTGGGAGGAAATAAAGAAATCGGAAGATAGTTGAGAGGAGATACAGAAGAAAGGGAGTTAGAGTGGCAATTAGGATAACTCAGAAGAGGAAGAATATCTGTCTGTCTATTGATCTATCTATTAACTAGCGTGTATGAATATATATCGCACATACGCCCTTACCCACCAGTCATTTGTTCACCCTCCTCCCCCCAGTGGACAGTTGAACAGTTTAATTGCCCCGGTGGACAATGGAAGGAGCAGCCTGTCACTGACAGTGGGCAGAGGATGACGGGAACTGTCCAAAATGGCCACCAGTTTGCCAAGCGTTCTCTTCTCTGCCACCGTCACCGGACGGTCCAGTTTGGTGCTGACCACAGAGCTAGACTTCCTGAGCAGCTTCTCCAGCACCCCAGCGTACGAAATGAAACCGGCAACCACAGACTGGTAAAACATTTTCAGGAGCTTTTCTGCAGACGTGTGGGGATCTCAGCCCAAAACAAATCTCCTGTGCCCCACCTGATCTCAACCCAAAACAAATCTCCTGTGCCCCACCTGAGGGTCGCGATCCAATCTTTGGGAAACAATGCATTAGAGCAGGGGTGTCAAAGTTATTTTGGATCAGGGGCCACATACAACCTGATTAGATGTAAAGTGGGCCGGACTAGTAGAATCACAACCTAATCAACTCTAAATAACAATAAGTAAACTTTTTTTTTCATGCAAATAAGTACAAG